TTTATTCACTATATGTATTTTTAAATATTATATCTTCTTTTTTGACTAATTAAGAGTGTTTTTACTTTTAAATGATACATCTTCTTTTTTCTCTATTTTTATTCTTAAATATTATATCTTCTTTTTTACTATTTCTTTTTTTTTTCCTAAATTTTCTACTTGATTTATTAACCATATATTACCATATATTATTGTTATGATGTGTAGGGGCTCTATAAAAAAATTAGGTTGGTATTTTGCCATCCATATCTTCTCTGAGCCCCTGACTGTTAATTACTTCTACATTTGTAATTATATTTTATTATTGGTGAAAGGAGATTGTAATTTATATAAACAGCAAAATAAAATAAAATTAAAGAAAAAAAAAAAAAAAATATGTTGATAACAAATGCAAAAAAGTTATTCCACACAGCCTTCCTCAACCACGCTAACTTTGAAGAGACTATGAAAAGCGTGGATCAAAATTTTAGCACAAAATTCGGTTCCGTAAATCACGATCATCGCGTACCTATTTTTAGAAAAAATTTTGCTTATAAATTTTATACTTTCATTCAACTTATTATTTTTAACCCTACCTCTGAGCTTCTATTTATCTAACTTTTTTCTTTTTTGTTATGATTAATATTTTTTGTTAAACTTATTAAATTTAACAAAAAATATTAAAACACAACAGAAAGGATGAAAAAAATTAGACTAATAGAAGCTCAGATTTAGGGTTATAATAATATATTGAAAGAAAGTATAAGATTTATAAGCAATATTTTTTTAAAAAATAGTTAAAGTTTTATTATTTCAACCTTTCTTAAGCTGAAGTAATTTCTCTTCATCACTATAATTGTTAATATTATTATTACTATACTTTTATCATTATAAATATTATTATTCTTACTGTTGTTACTATTGTAATAATTTTTTTATTATAATAATTATCCTTATTTTTTTGTTTGTCTTTCATTTCTCTTTTATTCTTACCTACATATATAATTTTTAAAAGGTTTACTTTATGTGTGTCTGTGTTTTATGTTTTATGTCTATATTTTTATTAATAGTCATATTATTTTAAAAAATGGTGTGACTTCTTTGATCAGAATTCTGTATGAGTGACACCATCCATATTAACCATTTACCTTATATAATAAGAAATAACCTTCATTTTACTTATTATTATTATAGTAATTATTATTATTTATAATTTTTTTTTTGTTATTATTATTATTATAGTTATAAATTATTACTATTGCATATTATTTTAAAGTTATTATTATTTTTATTTACCTTATTATTTTAAAAATTATTGTTGTTGTTGTTGTTGTTGCATTAGTAATACATTAGTAATAATAAAATGATGCAAATAATATTAGCATCATTTTATTAATATTTAATTTTACAGGTGTTTATTTCATATTATTACTTATTACTATTTGTATATAACCTTCATGTGTCAACTTTATTCAAAGTATAGTTGATTTGATTTATTTTGATCACTAAATATTTGAAAGTTGATGAAAAACATGGAGGCAAAAGCAATTTTTTACATATATATATATATATATATATATATATATATATATATATATATATATATATATATATATATATATATATATATATATATATATATATATATATATATATATATATATATATATATATATATATATATATATATGTAAAAGCACTTATTTAGTTTTATTCTTCAACAACATGTTTCCCCATCAGTAGCTTCATGAGGAAGGTTTATCAGTAGGTTCAATAGTTGATCAGGCTTCCCGATATACCTATGGATAGAGAAACAAGCTCTCAAAGATAAAAATGAGATAAGCATTGTTACTATTTATTATTGCTCTGTTCTTTAAGAACATTTTTCTTTCATTCTTTCTTTTTTTTTCTGACTTTCTCTCTCTTTTCTCTCTCTCTCTCTCTCTCTCTCTCTCTCTCTCTATATATATATATATATACATATATATATATATATATATATATATATATATATATATATATATATATATATATATATATATGAATATATATATATATATATATATATATATATATATATTATATATATATATATATATATATATATATATATATATATATATATATATATATATATATATATATATATATATATATATAAGTATATGTACATATATACATATATATATATATATCTATATCTGTTTTCATGGCTAAAAGTTAATTTAATTTTTTCGATTAAAGTAACTTTTAGTCATGAAAAATCTTTTTTACAAATTTTCTTTCAGACATTGGAGCCTGAAAGAAAGCCATCTAGAATTTAAATATTTGAAAAGTTTGTTATTGAGCTAATTAGAAAAATGCACTTATGCTAGATTTATTAGGACTATTTATTTATCCAAAAATCATATTAACTTTAGTTTTAGACAAACTTAAAATGGACAGGGAAAAAAAAAATTTTCACTTTTAATTTATTCAGAGGTTATTTGAAATTTTAAATAGTATAATAAGTGGTCAAACTAAAAACAGAATTATTGAAGTTCTAGAAATTACCTTTGATGCTCGAATATGAATGAGCTCAATTACTTTTGATAAAGTCAGATTACAAAATACATTAAAGACTTTCCTTATTACTCAGAAAGTGTTTAGACATTATGTACAACTTGTTTCTAAAGCTAATCATATTGTCTCTGGTATGAAAGCACGTCAAAACTTAATGTGGATAAAATTCTAATCAAAAAGCATCAAAAGATTTGTATGTTTAAATTTTTATTTGTGTCTAAATAAATTTTTGTGATAAGAATTTGAGTTAGTGAATAATTCTTTTAGTTATTTGATATTTATAGTCATTTTTTATAAAAGTTTTGTTTATAGGATTTTTCCAATTTTTTCTGTGTGTATAGATTTTCTATGTGTATAGATTGTATAATATGTGTTTCTATGTATATAGATCGTATAATATAAAATGTGTATAGATTTTCTATACTTATATTAAACCGGTTTTACAAAATAAAGAATGATTAATTACCTAATTAATTATGTAAAAAAAAAAAAAAAAAAAAAATTATGTATTTTTATTATTAAGACCAAGGGTCAAAACAATTAAGGACAAGGCCAAAATTTTAAAGGCCGTGAAAATTAATGACAACTCCATTTTTTTACTTTTATCTTGTATTTTAAAAGTTTAAACACTGTTTGAACAATTTTACTTCTTGTGGTTGTCTCTGATTTGCAAAATATTCTAAAGCAACAAAATATCCCTCATGAGAATCAGAACAGTCTTCGTCCAAATCCATAAGAAACTGTTAATTTTTGTTAATTTTGATTTTTCAATCCAATTCATTTTGTTTTTGACAACCTTTTATGTTATTGATTCGGACAGTAGTTTTCCGAAACTGTATTCAGAGCATAGATATTTGCAAAAATTTTACGCCGGTGTAATTTTTGTAACATTGAATGAAAAAACATTTTACGTCTCTAATTTTACGGCTGTAAAAATTCCAAAATAAAAGTTCCATCGTGAGCATTTTAGGCCGATATAAAGTTTTATAACATTGAGCAGTATATATAAAATTGCTTTTGACTTATTGTTTTTCATTAACTTTCAAATTTTTATTGATCAAAATAAATCAAATCAAATTAATTCTGAATAAATTTGACACAACAAAGTTATTTACAAAGAGTAATAAGTAGTAATATGAAATAAACATCTGTAAAACTCAATACTAATAAAATGATGCTAACCTTATTACCATCATTTTGTTGTTATTGAAGTATTATTAATATTAATTATAATGCAAGTAGGAGTCAATAAAAATAATAGACGTAATAACAGCAATTAAAAGTAATATTAAAGATTAGATAAAGTATACACTATACTATTTTAATAATAATAATAATAATAACGGTAAAAATAACAACAATGCTAAAAATAACAATAAAAATAACAACAGCAATAAAACAAAAACAGTAATATAAAAAAAAAATATTGCAATATTAACAACAGTAAGAATAATAATATTTAAAATGATAAAAGTATCGCAATAATTGTATTAACAATTATAGCGATAAAGAGAAAATAATTCAGTTTAAGAAATATAAATAATAAGTTACTGTATAATATACTTTACAACTTTAACTATTTTTTAGGAAAATATTGTTTATAAAACTCATACTTTCCTTCAATTTATTATTCATAACCCTGACTCTGTGCTTCTATTTATCCAATTTTTTTCCTCCTTTCTGTTGTGTTTTAATACTTTTTTGTTAAATTTGATGTTCAAGAAAAAATATTAAATCACAATAGAAAAGAAAAAAGTTAGGAAATAGAAGCTCAGTATTAGGGTTATTAATAATAAGTTGAATAAAATTTATGAGAGCAGTTTTAAATTTTAAGAATGGTTTACATTTCTTACATCACAAGTTCAGTAAAAAAATATTAACAAAGAAATCGCTTGAATATAAAATTTACCAAGAAATGTGCACTTAATTAAAACGAAATAAAATGAATGTTATAAGTTTTTAACTTAAGATAAGTACTTTGAAAAGTTCTAAACCACTGGTTTCTACAACTAAATATTCATATCTCTAGATCTTCAACAAAAAGTTTCGTAGATCGCACCTTCGGAATATTTATCGACTGTAAACGGCTTTAGAAATTTATCGACGGTAATTTTGAGTAAATTTTTATAACATTAAAACAAATCATTTACGCCGATAAAATTTACAGCCGGTAACCATTTTACGCCGACAAAAACTTTTATAACATTGACCCCTGGTGTCAATATTATAAAACTTTTATATATAACATTAGGGTTAATGTTATATAACATTGACCCCAGGGGTCAACGTTATATAACATTGACCCCTAGGGTCAATATTATAAAAATTTTTGTCGGCGTAAAATGCTAAAGGCTATTATATATTTTATCGGCGTTAATGACTTGTTTCAATGTTATAAAAATTTTTTTAAAATTACCGTCGATAAATTTCTACAACCGAAACGTTTACAGTCAATAAATGTTCCGGAGGAGCGACCTAAGGAAGTTTTTGTTGAAGATTCAGAGATATGAAAATTTAGTTGTAGAAACCTGTGGTTTAGAACTTTTCAAAGTACTTACCTTGAGTTGAAAACTTATTACAAATTCAATTATTTTGATTAAGTGCACATTTCTTGGTAAATTTTAGTTTCAAGCGATTTCTTTGTGAATATTTTTTTACTGAATTTGTCATGTCAGAAATGTAAGTCATTTTCAAAATTTAAAACTGCTCTCATTACCTACTTTTAAGAAAATTATTGCTTATAAATTTTATACTTTCCTTCAACTTATTATTTATAACCCTAATTCTGAGCTTCTATTTATCTAATTTTTTTCTATTCTGTTGCGATTTAATATTTTTTGTTAAACTTCGTAAATTCAACAAAAAATATTAAAACAGAAGAGAAAAAGAAAAAAAAAATTAGATAAATAGAAGCTCAGAGCTTGGGTTTTAAATAAAAAGTTGATGGAAAGTATGAGATTTATAAGCATTATTTTTCTAAAAAAAAGTTGAAGTTATCAAGTATAAATAACCAGTTATTTTTTATTTTAATCTTTCTTAAACTAAACTATTTTTTCTTCATTACTATAAGGGATGAATAAGAGATTTCTAGAGGTAGAGAATGGAATCAGAAGTAAGGAAATGGCGAGTTGTTTACATATGTTTAAAAATATGTACAATTGATATTGTTATAGATTTAGTAACCTGAAAAGGAAAGGTAAGCTGGTAGAACCGACAACAGAAAATAATGAAAATAGTCAGGTTAACGATAACAAAGAAGTTTATGGCGAAAATGATGACTTTAATCTGACAGGAGACAATGAAGATGATAATAAATATGAGGAAGACATCGCCAATCTTGCAAAAGAAATTTGTCTTGTATGGAAAGTGAATGATTGGGTTGCTGTTGCATATGAAAAACAATGGAATATTGGATATATTGTGGAGGTAATATTATTCAAAGTATATATTAGTTTCAAGTTTTTATTTTGTTTTACAAAACAGTGCTCTAAAATAAAAGGAATATAAATAAAATGTAAAAATAATTTCAGAATGACATTATATAAGACTTTAAAAGTTTTATTGAATGTAAGAAAAATTAAACAAATCATAAACTCTTTATTATATTATTTTAAATGTTGCGCTAATACTTTTAGGTATCTATAACTGGGATCAGAGTTAATTGTATGATTAACGGGCAAGATAAGAATACTTTTTGCTGGCCAGTTACTACCGAGGAGATAAATAACCAAACTGATAAAATTATCTGTTTAGTAAATGCTCCTTTTCTAATCAGTGGTTGTGGCGATTATTCATTATCCGAAGAAGACTATAATACAGTCATATCATTATTCTTAAAGAAACTTACTGCAGCAGAGTAGAAATTATGTGTGATGTGGTGGATAATGTGTGTAAATGATTAATAAATGAAAAACTAATTTTTAAATGGAAAAACATTTAAATGTTTGATTTATGTTTTATTTAATTAGCAATATAGTTATCTTGATGTTAGATTTTTGTTCAGTTTTTAATTCATGTTATATCATGCGTGTGACAAAATCACACAAATTTTTTTTATTATTATGTTAGGACCTTTTTGTATTGACAGTTGGATATGTTTACATTTTTACAAAACTAAGCGCCTCTGCCGTAATGGTTCATTTTGTAAGTATACTAAAACATTTTTTTCCAATTTCAAGCCTTAATATATCAATAGGCCTTAGGTATCACATAACTTTCTTTGCATTTTTAGACTCAATATCTTTGATAATTTCAAATTCTAAAAGAAAAATTGTGTGCAACACTTCGCCGCTAGAATTAACTCCGATTAAAAATTGACAAAACTGATTGATTTTGTACTTTTGAACTATGATAATTAGCCACCCGCACAGTGTCACGCAACTTTTTTATATTTTTTGGAGAGAGCTTTTGGGTTACGTCTGATATTTACTACAAAAGCTATGTGCAACTTTTTGCCTTGCCAAAAAAATGTGTTCAAAGGTGGCAAAAACTAAATTTCCAAAAATTTTTTAAAAAATCTCAAAAATTTAAGCCCAGATTCCGAGTGAAAGAAACATTTTTGAAATTTTTTTTTTCCCTAACAGGTTTTCTCTATATTCTGATCAATATATAAAAAATTCAAGCAATTTGGACGAGGTCACTTCCACAGTTTCAGGAATTTGCCTGATTCTTAGAAAAAACAGCTCATAATAACACAAATTGCTATTAGGGTTTATCCTCCTCCGGCTAATTGCCATATAGAGGCACAAATTATAAAATTACACAACTAACACAAATTTGCATTGATAATTATTAGGGTTGTTCGCCGAAAAACAAAACTTGCGAAAATTTCGCATTTTTATCTACCGTAATAGAATTGTTATTGCGGAAGTTGCACATGCAAAAATGCACATTCCGTAACGCGCTATACGAAAATATAAATAGTAAATAAAATTCCGTAATAAAGCATTGCGAAAGAAAACTTGCGAAACAAATCATTTTGTAAGAATACTTACGAAATAGTTCCTTACGGAAAAAGCATTCCGGAATGTGTAGTTACGAAATATTTAAGATATTAACTGTTAACAGTTTAAATAATAAATAATAAAGTTATAAAAAAATGTTGTCAAATGATTCTTCAAATGTTTATACAAATATACCTAATATATATATATATATATATATATATATATATATATATATATATATATATATATATATATATATATATACATATATATATATATATATATATATATATATATATATATATATATATATATATATATATATATATATATATATATATATATATATATATATATATATATATATATATATATATATATATATATATATATATTTATATATATATATATATATATATATATATATATATATATATATACACACACATACATATACAGTAAAATCCCGTTAAGTTGGACTCTCAATAAACAGATAAACAGTATGCCTTTCTTTTTAAAAAGTATAAAGAGGATGTGTGATAAACAATTAAATACTTTATTATAAAGAACGAGAGATCTCTCTAAAGGTAAATGATATCAGAAAGAGTAAAAAGAGAAGAAATATATGTGAAACAGCGGGATGTGAACCTGGGTCTACGCGGCCAAATGTCTTAACTGAATGAGATATACGTTCATTCAACTAAGTGAATAGTAATATTTATTTAATATATAATTAAGAAAATATATAAAACAGAATTTACAGAAGAGATACGTATGCAAATAGGATTCTATATATCAGGAAAATGAATAGTAATGTGAACCTTTAGATGCTTATAATTAATATCTGGACTCAAAAACTAGTTACTTTTAATGGAACACGATAGGCTGTAGGAGCCTCAGGGAACTTATATTCAGAAATGGTTATATTAGACTCAGAGTTAGCTAGAAATTATTACAAAGTATTTAGGACAGATGTCTAGTACAAAAAGCAAAAGATTTAAAGCAAAATGATTTATGTTATTTGAAAAAGTTGTTTTACGTACATTTTATCATAATTTAAGTAGAACTTAGTAAAGCAAGGGAAACGTGTTGAATTAAGCACAATGAACTCAATCTTAAAAGAATAACTAACAGAAGAGAGGTTGTCACTATTGTGAAGGTGACGAAATATCTGTAATATTGAACATGGAGGTCAAAAAATGCTATTTTAAGTAAAAAGAGTTTGATGAACAAAAGTTACAATGACTGCGGGATGCGAACCCGGATCTCTGCGGCGAATTGTCACGTATCTAACTGATTGAACTATACAATCTTATACTTAAATTTATATCTTATTAAAATTAAAAAACAATATTTTCTAAGATCTATACTTCGAAAAGCGTATTCAAACAGGACTCTACATACCTTTAAAATCTGCTAGAACTTTAGTAACGTGCACACTTTTAGAAATTATTGAAATAGGTATATTTTACCAGAAATATGCTTAAGCTAAAACATATTTTTGAACCTCTTTTTACTATTTGCTTAAGCATATTCGAACCTGTTTCAAAAATTTCATATGCTTTAAAAAAAAACATGTATATTCCTACCCATCATTCTTATTTTTAATATGCGTAATGAGTTCAAAAAACATCTTTGCATATATTTATTATGGCACGTTTCGTAAGTTTATTTCCTTTAAGAATTCTTTTGTATGTTGTGATCCGAAATACTTTTGTTTCGAAAGAAATTTTATTTTTTATCAATATTTCTGAAAATAAAACCATAAAAATTTAATAGTTATTATACTGAAAATAAAAATTCATTATAAATATTTTGGGATTTAAAGATGTTAATTTTTACAATTAAAATCAGTCTGGCAAACAAATTTTCTTTATAGACTTCAAAACGTCGTTTGGCGAAAATGTTTGTTTCGCAAGTGTGACTTCCAAAACCGCTACTTTCGTATGTTGCAAAATAGTTTTGTTTCGTATGTCAACTTGCGAAATGCTAAATTTCGGAAGTGGCTTTTGCGAAATGAACATCGGCGATTTTAAATGTTTTGTAACATTCGGTACGAAAAAATGTAATTCCGTGTTCTCAATCTCCTTACGAAAGAATGTTGTTTTTCTGGAATTGCACGAAATCCTCCGGTTAACAACCCTAATAATTATTTTATTTGTCCTCATCAAACCAAAATAATACGTTGATGTTTTAAAAACATTTCTGCTTGTGAGTTATTAAAATCTTGAAAGCGTACCTACAATTTTAAACTTTTTTCAATTTATTTAAGAACGGATTTTAAAGTAACTTAATTAAACTTGAAAGAATGTACTCGGTTTATCATCAAAAAACTAAAATTAAGTACCTTAATTAAACCATAAAACTATAATATGCATAATATGAAAATTGTAATACCCTATTCTATCTTGTTAATGTTGCAACTTATTTGGCTTTAGATAGATACTTAAACAAACAAAAAACTCTGATATATATTTTTTTAATTTGAAACCTAGAGCATTTTTTCTTAGGGGGATTTTTTCCGGGGGGATTTATTCCGGGGGGATTTTTTCTTAGAACCTATCTTTTTAGTTCAAAAATTTTAAATTAATGCAGAAAATATAATACGCCTCAATTAAAAAGTGTGTTTGGTTGTTTACCTAAACTACTATTCAATTTATTTGCGGTTGCGGAAGTTTGCTAACATTTTTAAAATATAACGTTAGGTATAACTATAAATTTGAATTCGTTAGTATAACTATGATTTATAAATTTTATGGAAAGTTTATTTAGAACAACAATTCTCTAATATGTTCATTACAAAACCGCTAAAACATTTTTATTTATTTTTTTATTAAAAAATTTTAAACATTTACAGTTTTTTAAAAATTTTATAATATTGTATACTTATATATAAGCAGGGCCGTACCGAACAACAAAGACTTGAGGAAGAGAGGGGAGTACAAAGGAAAAAAGCTAACTTTACAGACAAGGGTTTTTTTTTTTTTTTTTGAAGCCTAATTTCAGCTCTAACCGACAGAGTCCCAACATAGTTTAGTAATGATAACAAATTGTATATTACAATAAGTAAAAGTCTTACACACCTAGGTTTTTGTTTTTTATTTTATATATTTACACTTTTTCTTTTATATATATTTATTTTTATCGCTCAAACATGTAATGAATTAAAAATTATCAAAACGGTAAGCCACATGATATCGTGGAATATTCTAGAGTTTACAATGTAATGCGTTAGAATATTACAATTAGTTAAAATTTAAAATTCAAAATGAGGCAAAATCGTGAGTTTTATATGTATGGCCCATATTAGTCACATCAAATTTAGCACGTATTTATTTAAGGATTATGTCACATTAAGTGGAATAGTTATGTGAATTGCATTATGTGTTCCGCAAGGGGGCCACACTTATTTTCATCAAATACGTCATTTATCAACTGTAATATATTTTTGCACTTTTAATCCACACGAAAGCACTATGACCACATGTGGGCCACATATACCTTTCTTGTCAGGATAGATTTAAAAATGAAATGGGCTTGATAGTTGATGTTTCGTAATCTGGTGGTAGTGGAACATCAAATGATGGAAATATGACTCGAAGAGCATTTCAAAATGCGGAAAACTTTGCAGAAATTTAAAATGTTGATGTTGAACTGATTCTAAATTTGCATATTTTATTGGCAACAGTTTTATGGTTTAGACATTGACACTGATAAATTTGAGGCTTTCTGTTTAAAAACAGCTCAACTTTATGTTCTTCATTATCCTTGGTACTATATGCCACTATCTCTCCACAGTGTTTTAATCCAAGTTTCTGAAATTATTAAAACTTTAGCATATCCATAGGTATGTATTCTGAAGAAGCTCAAGAAGTACGCAATAAAGACTTTCAAAACTATCGTGAACATTTTGCAGGAAAATCATCTCGTGTAAAAACTAACCAAGATTTGTTAAATTGACTTTTGTGTACATCTGATCCATGTATCTCTGAGAAAGACAGCAGGAAGTCACACCAAAACTTACCAACTGGAGTAATTGACTTA